GGGTTTGATGGTGCAGTTCTTGAGGAAGTCTTCTTCCAGGTGGCTCATAAAAAGGTTGGCATACTGTGGGGCCATTTTGGTGCCTATAGCTGTTTCCATTGTTTGGAGGAAGTGCTGGTTATTAAAAGTGAAATTGTTGTGTGTGAGGATGAACTGTATAAGGTCAGTAATATCTTTGGGTCTGTATTCTGAGTTGTAACCTTGTTCCTGTAGATATGTAAGGCAGGCTTGAATGCCATCCTGGTGTGGGATGTTGATATATAGGCTGGTAACATCCATGGTGGCTAGGAGGGTGTCGCTGGGAAGGTGGTCTATGTTTTTAAGTTTCCGTAGAAAGTCTGTAGTGCCTTGGACAAAACTTGCTCTGTGGGTGACGAGTGTTTTTAGGATTGATTCAATGAAACCTGCTATTTCCTCAGTTAGGGTCCTATGGTTGGATATGATAGGTCGCTCTCTCCAGTCTCTCAGTCCTGATCCTCGAAGGCAACTTACAAAACACTTCCCAGAGACGAGCCTATGAACTCCACTTCATCAACCTCCTGGATACTAAAAATCATGGACTAAATATAGACATTGGATTTATGACACATTATAACCTGCCTGACATCTGACTCCCCATTCTCTCCCCCCTCACCTAGCCTGTTTCTCACCGGCTGACTCCTCAATCTACATCTTCACTGACTGCCTATCTTATATGCATACCAGCCCAACCTCTGGCTTCTTTACTATTCATTCCATCCAGGAAGCGCACACACCAACTGCTGAAACTTCCTTAGCCTGACGAAGGATTTTTGAACCCAAAAGCTTGCTTAAAAATTGTTTTCCAACTATTTAAGTTGGTCTAATAAAAGCTGTCAGATTCACCCAAAAAACCTTGTCTGCCTTTAGACCCCTGGGGCACTTTTGCCTCCATTGGTCCAGGATCCTTTTACCTGTGCCCTACAATTACAACACTGATTCCATAATCAGCTACAATTATGTTCAACTGACCTGGTTGGAAAATAAAAAGCAACTTTATCCATTATACCACTACATGTCAACCGTGGCTATTGAGTTGTGGTAACTACGCTACCTACCACATTTTTCCATCAACTGTATTTGGGAGGGTTTTGTCAGAGATCCTTCTGTTTCAGCAGGTGACAGATTGCCCAGAGAAGATGCACTGAGAAAGTGCTATCAACACAGGCATCAGTGCAGTCTGCAAATCCCCAAGGCAAAAAAAGGTGGTGGGAAAGCACAGACTT